TGGGGCTCTATCCCACAGCCCTGGTATCATGACCTGAGCCGAAATCAAGAGTCAGACACTCAACCGACTGAGCCACCCAGGCGCTCTGATACTGAGCCTTTTAAAAAACATTGCAAATCACAGCTGTGTGCCTTCAGATGAGTAGTTCAGCAAAACCAGTGTATTTGCATTTTGGTGTCATATCGTAAGTGGCTTTTCTTTTATGATGGTATAGGAGAAAGAGGAATAGAAAAGATTTAATTTTTAATTAGATTAAATTTATTCATTGATTTATTATAGCAGTATAAATCTATGCTTTCAGAATATTTTAAATTTTTTAATTTGGGGAGCCCGGTCCCATGAGATAAACTTGCAGATGCCCTCATATTTGAAAAGTATGATTTTTGCTACTTTTATACAGATTTATTTGCTGTGAGCCTAAGAAAAGTTTATATATTAATTGCTAGTGTCTTTGGATATGCTCCTGGACCAAAGATTTTAAAGTATCAAAGATGAGAAATGCTATTAAAATGACAGTAATGCCATTTAGGTAGTATTTTCCCACATAAGTGAATTTTTTAAATACCAGAAGTATTAGCTTTTTAAGGATCAAAATATTTTGCGTGAACTTTTTGTTTTATATATAGAAAGCTTTTAAAGATTTCTATTTTTTCTTATCTTCTTAAACAATATAGGCAGCAATGTAAATAGCATAGATAACATAATTTAATCCTGATGGCTGAGGTCATAATTACAAACGTCAGTTATTCTCTTGCACTGAATTCAGTTGTTACCTAGGGCAGTGAATCTCAGCATTTTTGGACCTTGGGGAACTTAAGTAGAGTGGAAGTTTCCACTGCCCATCTAGCACATACACACATCTTTCTACTTCCTATGAAAAAGAATATTTAGTGATAATAGTGAAATGTCATTACTGTACAAGCAAATGGTGGTAGTGTAATATGTATGGTATAATATGTATGTGTGTGTTTGCAGTAGGGGTAAGAATGATTGATATTTGACCCCATTATATGTATCACTCTAAATTAGAGGCCAAAATATGTATAGTTACTAACAAGTATATATTGATGAGCTATATTGATTGTTTTAATAAACTATCAATTCCCAGCAGGAAGAGCAGTTGAATTCCAATTTAAGGCAACACTGATAACGATGAATTGATAAGGTGTTTCTGCCTTCATGAAGTTGTAGGAATTCACACTGTGTGTGTGCTCAGTGGTAGTGTTGCAGAATTGTTATGAATGGCAACTATATTTAGAATACTGAATTCTGAATTGGAGTCCACATAAGTTCTAATAGCATGCTGTGAATACCAAGATGTAGTTTCTTAGTGACTGACTTAGTAGATGACAGTTGTCCCTTAGTCTTGGATAAAAATGAAAGTCAGTAGTATTATATACGCTTTACTTCTTGAGAAATGAGGAAAAGACTTGGGTTTTTGGATTGGTTTCTTGCACATCAAGAAGACCTTTGCATGTTACCAGAGTATGCTTCGATTATGTAATCACTAACTCAGGAGCACTGAAGGTGTATGGATTTACGTTTTTGAGCTGTATCTCCATCTGAGTTGCTGCTTTTTTTTTTTTTTTTTTTTTTTTTTTTTTTTTTTTTTTTTTTTTTTTTTAGTTGAACTACAACTAACATACACTGTTGTATTAGTTTTGGTTATACAATATAGTGATTGGACATTCTATACATTATGCAGTGCTCACCACGAGAAGTGTGGTACCATACAACGTTACTACAGTGTTATCGACCATATTCCCTGTGCTGTACTTTTTATCCCTGAGACTTAATTTTTTTTTTTTTTTTTGTAACTGGGAGTTTATACTTCTTAATCCCCTTCCTATTTCACCCCCCTCCCTCCTTGCCTCCCACAACCTCCAGTTTATGAGTCTGTTTCTTAGTTGCTTCTCAGTTCTTACGCCTCTCTTCTTGCTGTTGTGAATGTGCCTTATGCCTGCTTTTAGTATGAGTTTCTCCAGACTCCGTCCTCATTCCTTTCTGTTCCATTCACTTTAGCTTTATTTTTCTTGTTACTTCCAATCTGTTATGGATGGGAAAACCAGGTAGAGTTGTTTAGAACTACTCTAAAGTTAGCATGTTGATTCTTAATAAGGATTCTCAGTGCAAGACATAGATTTATGTGTGTTTCTGTGACAACAGTTTCAGACACTCAGCCATTATTTTCTTCTGGGCTCTTGATGTTGTTTCAGATAGTGCAGGGTGCTGAATAAATGACACCTTTGCATAGGTGAGATATTAACTAAATTAGAGGTTTAGTTTCCTAAATTAGAATTGGGGGATAAAATACTAACTAGAAAGCACATTATAGTAAAATATATTCAAGGAGGCAGCTTTTCATTGGAATTAAAGAGATGTTCCTTTTGTTATATCTGTATATAGAGATAGTTTCTGAGATTTCGTTGTGTATGTTACTGTATTATCCTCCAAAAGATTTTGGCAGGAGGCTTTTAAAAAACTTTTGAGGTATAATTTATACACAGCAGCCCAAAGTTTTACACTGATTTCCCCTTATTCCCACTATCTATGGCCTGATTTTGTATACTTCTGGTTCAACAATATTTTTAAAAATACAAACTTAAAGCCTGATGTATATGCAGGGGTGTGCAGGTCAATGTATATAGGATCTGATACAAAGAATTACAGATTTTATTAATCCCCACAGGTTATATTTGAATATTAACACATTTGAGTTTTCCTGGGACATACACCAAACTAGCTAATAGTAAGAGTTTACTTTTTGTGTGATGAAGCGTATCTGCTAAAGTTGTGTTTTGTTTTGTTTTGTATCATTTTTATAGGCTCCCATGGTCCATTATTGCCTTTACCAAGTCGTTACAGAATGGGCTCTCGAGATACACCTGAGCTTGTGGCGTATCCGTTACCACAGGCTTCTTCCTCTTACATGCATGGAGGAAATCCGTCTGGTTCAGTTGTAATGGTTAGTGGATTACATCAGCTAAAAATGAATTGTTCAAGAGTGTTCAACCTATTCTGCTTATATGGAAATATTGAAAAGGTAAGTTTCATTTCATATTAATTTCTTTTGCTAGGATATCTAGCAGGAAAGTCTGAATAGGCAGTAAATACATGTGTCTTCGCCTTTTATTGGGAACATACAAGTTCTTTTAGCAGTAACCAATGTACGCTAAAAATTCATTAGGTAGGAACTTCAGAAATTGTTTTTTGTTGGTAAGTGATTGGTATAGGTTGTTGGTACTAAAAATACTTTAAAAATAGAAGTCCAAAACAGTTTAATCAACCACTAGAGTATTATAGACATAAAGCCTGTATTAATTTTATCATTACAAAGAGTTTCTGTCTAGCATTTAACATGTTGAACTGTAGAATTTGAAAGAGCAGTTACTTTCGTGGAGCTTGAGCACAAGTCATGAATTTTTAGGAAAATCCTGGATTTATATACTTGGCCTTCTAAATGCTAGAGTTCTAGTATCTTCTGAGGAACAATGTGCTTTTAGCTCTATCAGTATTTGAAACTGACCCACTTTGAAAGAATGTGTCCAAAACTTTGTCTGGAGGCTTATACTCAAAAAGTAGCAAAACATTTAAATTTTATATATTTTAAAGATCTTTAAAGAGCTGTAACCTTGTTTTCACTAGGCATCTATTTCCCTGGATCTGTGATGTTTTGTTCATTGATATAAATACTTAAAATAGTTCTTATCATAAAGTAGATGCTAAACTGTTTTTTAAAGAATCATGGAAAATTTAACTGGGGAAGTGATCGGTAGTCTTAAGTCACCAATTGTTCGATACCCTTGCCAATTTGAGTTTCAGTACTGAGGTAATGTTATTTTTCTCTATTGTTTTAAGTAATTTTTAGTGTTCTTTTCACTACAATAAAAAGGTATAAGCATGTGGGTCATAAATGTGTGGGAGGGGGAGCATGGCTTGAATAGTTGGTACTCTTAGTTCTTACTTGGTTTATTAATTCTAAAGCCTCCTTGATCTGAGGAAGCAACTCAGAAAATCTCTGAGACAAGAATTTCCTCAACATAACAATTTGACCACATTTAGAAAAGAAAGAAAATTCCACTTTTGGTCTAGGGCTAACATATGGGATATCTCTGCTTATGTAACTAGCCAGGAATACAGGGGATAGATTTAGCAATACTGAGAGAAGTAGTCCAGAATTTTTTCACACAGACATTTATCTTAAGACACCTAGGTGTTAGTTAAGGTTTAGGAACTGCATGTTTGATGACTAAATGGGCTTTAGTGTGTATTTTAGCCTTATCACTTAGGTTGTCTCTTTGTGCTTATCATATTTGTAGATAATCAGAATCAGGCAGTTCAATCAACATCTTTAGTATATCTTTGTCTTTTGTGTTATGAACTAATTGTCTCATGATTTAGAAACATAAATCACTTTGTGTGATAAATGCAAAATCTTCTGTGTGCTATTTGAACAATTCTAGTCCCATATCTCAAAAATTTTTAAACATTTTAAATAATATATTATGATACACTAATCTCAAGTTATGATAATCCTTTAAAAGACCTATATATAGTTAATTATTCCTCACCTTTTTTTGAGATTCATGAATATAAGAGCTCCATATTTAATATATTTAGTCATTATTAGATTTGTAGGATGTTATTGGATTAAATCAATGTATAGAAATTTTGCCCACAAGAAAACAGTTGATTTCGAGCAAAGCTGAAAAGTTCTACTATAGCTGAGTTTTGTTTAAATACAGGAGCAGTATAAAAATGCCAAGATAGCCCGTTAAAAAGGATAGTTAGTTGCAAGGGTGGGTATAAATGCTATGCTGCATTTGTTGTGTAAATATGTTTGTAGTGTTCTTTTAAGGCTAACAAATAAGAAGGGAGTATATTCAAGGTATCGCGAATGTTAGTGGTACAGAATAGCTATTTTAAGGACTTTCCAAGGGGCGGGGTACTATGCTGAATAATTATCATACTTTAACCCATCTAACCCTCATTACTACATTGTTATATATTAAAATTGGAATAATATAAGAGGATAAGTATGGCCTCTGTCCAAGATGTTATGAGAACTTGTGAAGTAAAGCCTGTGTTTTAAAGTGCCCCTAACCTTGTACAAGCCTTCCTCCTGGCAGTGCTGTCTCAAGGCCATCTTGTATTATTTCTTACAGTATCTTGAGTATTGCCTTAAAAGCATTCTGAGAAGTCGGTAATTACTATTTACTTTAAAATTTTTGACCTACCTACCAGAATATAAGTTTCAAGAAGACTGTGTCTATTATGTTCACCATTAATTCCCAGTACCTCCCACAGTGTTTATCAAAATGTTTGAGGCACCTAGTAAATGTTTGTTGAATGAGTAAATATTGTTGAATCCTACTAGATGTTACTGTTATCTCCATTTCATAGGGAAGTCTGTGGCTCAGGGAAGTGAAGTAAATTGCCCCAAATCACACAATAAATAGCAGAGTCAGGGTAAGCCTGTGCTCTTCTTTATTGTGCTATATAATAGAATTATAGTCTTCCTTTTTTTTTAAGTTTATTTATTTATTTTGAGAGGGAGAGTGCATGCACACAAGCAGTGGGAGGGGAGAGAATCCCAAGCAGGCTCCATGCTGACAGTGGGAGCTCAATTTCATGACCCATGAGATCATGACCTGAGCCAAAATCAAGAATCAGACATTTAAGCAACTGACCCATCTAGGCGCCCCTATCATCTTCCTTTTTAACTGTTGAATTTTGATAAGAGCTAGGAGTGTGTAATAGCACAGCAGAATAAAGTTAAGATTCCAGGTGATCTTCTGTATTTGACATCAGCCACTTAAATCATACTATCTTTCAGAAATTCTGTTACTGTAGAAGGGAAATAAATAGTCACCTTTTTGGGATTTTGTATTTACAGGTAAAGTTTATGAAGACCATTCCTGGTACAGCACTGGTAGAAATGGGTGATGAGTATGCTGTAGAAAGAGCTGTCACACACCTTAACAATGTCAAATTATTTGGGAAAAGACTTAATGTTTGGTAATTATCTTAAGTGGTAAATTTTAAAAGTGTTAAAAAAAACTTCATTTTTATTAGAAACATTAATTTCAATTTCAGAATATTTTAATGTAATTGAGAGCACATTTGAAACTAGCACCTATAATGTTACCATTTTAGACAAAGTATGTTAGGGTCATATAATTCAGGTTTTGCTCACCTATACCTAGTTTTTAGTGTTACCATAAAACAGCATGTAAAAATGGGCAAGTTTTGTGTAAAGTTTCCTAATACAAGACTGTATCTAAGCTATGAGTGATGGATTATAACTCAAACTAAATTTAAATATTCAAATAAATGTTTAAAATATTAAATATTTAAACCACATTTAAAATAGCTACATTTGTCTTATTTGTTAAAATTGAATGCAGGCATATGTATTAACATTTCGAGACTGTCTACTTGCTGCTTTTTATCTAACAAGCTATGTTCTGTACGTTTTTCCTTCCCAATCTTTAGTGTGTCTAAACAACATTCAGTTGTTCCAAGTCAAATATTTGAGCTGGAGGATGGTACAAGTAGCTACAAAGATTTTGCAATGAGCAAAAATAATCGCTTTACAAGTGCTGGTCAAGCATCTAAGAATATAATTCAGCCGCCCTCGTGTGTGCTGCATTATTATAATGTTCCATTGTGTGTCACAGAGGAGACCTTCACCAAGGTGGGTGCTGAAATAGAGTTGTGCAGAATGTTCTGTCTTATTTTAAAATTTAAAATATTTTAGCCTCATTTTAAAGTCTTGCGCTGTTCATCTACTTTTGATGTTAATAGTATTCTGTTATTTATTTGGTACTTTATAGTTCATTCTTTGGTCATTGTACTTTTCTGGCTTCCATTCTGCATTAGTCTTTTGTTGGTTTGTGGCTCAGTCTTTTTGAGAGTTGGATTGAGAGTGAGAGACCTTACTTCTGGAATCAGAAAGTTCTTTTACTGTGCCCTTAAATCTTGCCCATAAAAAAATGTTATCTATCCCTACCTTTTTGCCTAAATGTAGAAAATATTTCAGAAAAGAATTGATTTTCTGGAACTCCACTCCCTACCTTAGACACTAGATAAATCTTGGTCAGCTCTGAAAATATGTATTTCAGTTACCAGTTTGTGGTTTTATTGTATAGCAC